TTTGCAGTATATTTTGTGGATGGTGAGTATCAGTGGAAATGCATGTTGAAGGTTCTCCATTGGGTTAATAAATAGAGAAATAGAATATGAAAACAAAGAGATCATTCTTGAAGTTTCTAAAATTCTGGATTATAGTGGATAATTCTGGGATTCACATTTCAAGAAGGCAGCAAAAGACTTTCAAGTGGCTCCAGACATGGTTCACCAGGATGTTACAGGGATGAAGACTACAATTCTTTAAGAGTAGCTGCAAAATTGCAACAGTCCTGTTGGATCAGAGAACGTAAAGAGTGACCAAATAAGCTGTTTTCAAGGTGGTGGGGTTTTGATCTCGTATTGAGAGAGAATGAGACCCTCTGGTGAGTGGGTCAGATACCAGAGATCAGAAATTCAACATTATAGACAAGTCATTAAAGGAGAAGTGAGAATTTTTTTGTCACCCAGAGATGGTGGGAACTTAAATTCTGCGCTTGAAAAGATGATGGAAGCTGAATCCATAAATAATTTACAAACATTAGGAAGTTAGACATGTATCTGAAGATGAGAAACTTAGTGTTATGGATACAAAGTGGGAATATGGGATTGAGCATGGCCGCATTTCAAAAGTCTTAGCACAAGCACAGCGGGCTGAATGGTGGCTTCCTGTGTTTGAGTTTTCTGTAATTCTGAGCCATGGCCATACAGTTCATAGAACTTCATAGAATCCCTACAGTGTGGAAACAGGCCCTTTGACCCAACAAGTCCACAGCGACCCTGACAGCATCCCATCACCCTGTACCCCACCTAATCTACACATGGCTGAACACTAGGGGCAATTTAGCATGGCCAATCCACCTAGCCTGCACATCTTTGGACTGTGGGAGGAAACCGGAGCACCTGGAGGAAACCCACACAGACACAGGGAGAATGCCTGTGTGGAGTTTGCACAGTTGCCCAAGGATGGAATCGAACCCAGCTGGCGTTGTGAGGCGGCAGTGCTAATCACTGAGCCACCATGCCGCTTAAACAGCATGGAAACGGACCATTGAGTCCAGTTCGTTCATGCCGACCAGATATCCTAAATTAACCTAGTCCAATTTACCAGCATTTGGCCAATATCCCTCTAAACCCTTCCTGTTCATGTTTCCATCCAAATGCCTTTTAAATGTTGTAATTGTACCAGCCTCCACCACTTCCTCTGGCAGCTCATTCCATCTTTCACCACCCTCTGCGTGAAAAGGTTGCCCTTTAGGTCTCTTTTAAATCTTTCCCCTCTCACTTTAAACCTATGTCCTCTAGTTTTGGACTCTCCTACTCTACGGAAAAGACTATTCACCTTATCCATGACCCTCATGATTTTATAAACCTCTATAAGGTCATCCTTTAGCCTCCGATGCTCCAGGGAAAATAGCCCCAGCCTATTCAGCCTCTCCCTATAGCTCAAACCCTCCAACACTGGCAACATCCTTGTAAATCTCTTCTGCACCCTTTCAAGTTTAACAATATCTTGACTACAGCCGGGAGACCAGAACTGAATGCAGTATTCCAAAAGTGGCCTAATCAATGTCCTGTACAGCCTCACCATGACATCCCAACTCCTATACTCAATGCACTTGCCAATGAAGGCAAGCATACCGAATGCTTTCCTCACCACCCTGTCTACCTGCGACTCTACCTTCAAGGAAATATGAATCTGCATCTAACCCTAAGCCATTCTTAATTGGAGGATTTAAACCTTTTCCTCTGAGAATCCACTGGTTCCTCAGGCCCTGCTGCTCCTGACTACCTTCCCTGAGACTCCTTGGCAATTTGCTTGATGTTTCACTGCTGCATAGCCATTAACCAGCAGTTCCTGTTCCTTTTCACAACTGAGTGACTTCTACCACCGAGACAAAGTGAGCACGTACAGAATCTTGGTGAATCTGAGCTACTAAATCTCAGTTTGCAGGATGGTATGTTTAAAAACAAGGGCTCTTCTCTTTCTCCCCTCATCTCCAATCTGGCTCTTCCTTCCAGCACTTCAGCCCAGGAAGTTTCATCTGTGTGGATTTATTTGGGATAACATCTTGATCGTAGTAAAAACAAGATGCAACCATCATGGAGACCAGAATGGAATCAGTATGGACTGAAATTAAGGATTGATCTCACTAATGGGTATAGTTGTTGGATTTCTTAATAGCACAAGGGAGGTGGTGGAAGAAGTATGTAGATAAATGAGGGAATGAAGTATAAAATATATTGAAGCATAATCTTGGGCAATATCGGCTATCACCTGATATTAATTTGTCAAAGGTTGGTAAACACGATTAGGAAATAACATTCCTGCAATGTAGACATGACTAACCTAACAATTTAAAAACAGGGAAGATTTATGACTATCTAGTAGGGGATCATAGAGGCAATGGTGATCATAACATAAAATGGTGATACTAGCAAAGGACATAATTACGATTAAAGTTAGATTAATAAATTTTAGAAAAGCTCATTTTGAGAGACTGAAATTAAAACCTGGGAAAATTAAATGGGCAACAATATCATCAAAAAGTGTTGTCAAACAATAATGGAAACATTTAAGATGGTGTTCAGAGCCCAGAAAGTAAACATTCCATTAAAATGAAAGAACAACCTAAATCTTAGTGAAATGTTGTGAATGATCAAAGGCATAAGGGAACAATTAAGGGTCAAAAGAGGCAAACATAAAGCATACACACAACTGGGGAATGCATGATCAGAGAGAACACTGAAATTAGCAGCGAAGTCAAAATATATTCAGGAAAGTAAAGGGGAGCTGTGAAAGTAAATTGTTAAAGAAGATGGAACTGGAAATGAAACAGTAAAATATTTTATAGGCACATCAGTAATGTGATGGTAATAAGACCATTGACCCTATGGCAATCATTGGGCTGGATGTTTTGCAGTCAGGACTGTCTGTAATTTTGATCTTGAAGTCTGTAGTTGTTTTCGAGAATCTTTTAAAGGACTTTCAAGAGTTTGCATCAATTGTGAAGGGATCAATTGCAATTTTCTTGGACAGTAGAGATTATTTGACAGAAGTGTACCATGTTCATTTGGTGATGCTGGCAAATTGCTTATTATTCTTCAAAATATAGGGTCACAATGTGATGCTAGCAGATGACATGAAGCCCGTTTGATAAGGTTCACTGCATAGAAAGGTTTTAATTCAATGGTGTGATGATAGTTGGTTTCCTGTTCATTGGTAGAAGTTTAACTTAAAACGGAGCCCTAATTACTAGTCCAGTTACTGTGGTTGTGTGTTCCTACTTTGCCTGTCAAAGGTGTTGATTTCCTGCCAAGAAACATATAACATACCATTGTCTCCGGGTCTTTCAAAAGAGCTTGTTGAGGATGTTGAAACTGAAATTGTACTGGAAAAGCTAAGTAATTCGAAAGAATCTACCATTGTCTGTAAACCTGTCGCATAACTAATTTTCCAGTAAAATGTCCAAAGAACAAGAAACTCTGACTGTTCATTGTAAAAAGACATTGAAGCATTTGTCTGGAATGCAAAAGTTAATGGTAGTTGGAGGTGAGTTAAAGTTGTTTGAATTGAAAATGTTGAAACATTCTGAGCAAGATGAGGCATGGCAAATGGTGGGAAGACTGCTGCATTCTCTGATAAAATTGGCTCCTCTTTACACAGGAATGTTTGATTCTTTGTCCAGAATTTTCAAAAGCGTAGGGACTTGTTAAAAAAAAAATTTAATGAATTTCTCAATGTCTTGGAAAAGGTGCGGTATGAATAAAGTCTGAGAATATGGAGTCAGGGGATAAGTGATAGAATGGATTTCTAAAATAAAACAAAGAACTGGATGCAAGAGATCTGAAACAAAAACAGAAATTGCTAGAGAAGCTCAGCAGGTCTAGCAGCATCTCTAGAGAGGAAGCAGACTTAAAGTTTTGAGTGTGGCAACTCTTCATCAGTGATGGATAGCCAGCTGGCTTCAGTGTGGAAAACAGTTATTCTGTGTTTCAGAAGGGACCACTTCAGTTCACAACTTATATGAATGATGTGGACTTTGGAATCAAAATACCATTTCCAAATTTGCAGATGACCCCAATATTGAGGGGGTGGTGGATGCGTGTTGGAGTGGGGCATGTGTGCCGAATTCTGAGAAGAAATGCCACATCTTGTAATTTAGTTTTAATAAATTGCAGAATTGACAAGTAATAGGTAAATGAAGTTAGCACATTTTGCTGGGAATAATAAAGAGATGAATTTGTAATGTATAAGTTTTGGTCGAGTAAAAGAACAAGGAAATTTTGGACTATAGGTTATGTCAATCACTAAATGTTGCAAGGCTATAACAAAATCTCATTAAAGCTTTATTTCTGGATGGATAGATTTGAAACGTAGGGAAAGTACGCTAAACCTGTATCAAACCTTGGTGAGAACACATTTATACTGCATACAGTTCTTGTCGCATATAAAGAATATGGAGAAACTGGGGAGGGTACAGAGAGGATTTACAAGAATGATAACGGAAGTGCGAAGGGTACACGTCAAGGCAGGGTTGACAAGCTGGGTCTCCTTTTGAATAAAGTGTTTAATAAAGGTCTTTTAAATATATGAAAATTTTGATAGTGTATACAGAGTGTATGTTTCCTTTTGTGGTGAAGAGCTCAACTAAAGACCATCAGTGTAAGATGGTTACCAAGAAATCTAGAGGGTGGTGCTTTTGCAAAGAGTGGTGAGGATGTAGGACCTGCTACTTCAGGCATCGAGGCAAGCATATGTAGGAGAACAGAATATATGGTTACGTTGATAGATTGGGCAAGGACGGATGAGAGCAGGCTCAAGTGTAATGTAAACACCTGCCAGGACTGTTCTGGTGGAATGGCCTGTTTATATGCCACTTATCCCGTGTAACCCAATGAGTGTAAATGAACCGGCCTCTTGGAGAGCAAACACAGCCATGATCGGCGAATGGCTGCCTACTGAGAGAGCATAAATGGAGTTGAATGGACCTCTACATACTGATAGAGCTTTATAATACTTTCAGAGACTTGTCATTTGAAAAATTGTCCTTTGATGTCGATGACCCTTCAAGCACACCTCGAAAGGCTTCATTGGAGTCGAGGAGCAGTCCCAATGGTGATAAGACAATGCAGGTTAGAAGCTATTATGTTTTTGTATAAACTTATTTGAGAAAAATGTTGTTTGCTTATGAATTGATACGGTTACAAATTATTGTGGTAAACACAAACTTTTGTGTTTCTGTCAGCCAAATTCATGCCCATCTTGCCTACAACACAATGAATCACTCCAGTTAGGTTCAACAGCACTATACATACAAAAGCCACAAATGATATCCTGTGAGCTTGACTGTGCTGCATTCTCATTTACCACTCTGTAGTCTTTGGCATATTTGATCCTGAGGTGCGCTTTGGATCAAATTTTTGAGCCGTGATTAAGAATGCCTATTTCCACCTCTGTAAGGCTGCCTGAATTTGGTCTACCGTGGCTCTTTGATGAAACCATCAACCACGCCCTGTTACCTTCAAACATACTCTTAGTCATTGTCCACATTATATTGTTTGTAAATGTGAGGTCCCAGCCAAAACTCTGCCCAGAATAACTCTCTTTCATGGGATGTGGACATTACGATCAAAGCCCACCATTGTTGCTGGCTGCTAAATGCCCTTGAATGGATGGCTTGCTTGGCTATTTCAGAGGTCAATTAAGAGTCCTTACAATGTGGAAACAGGCCCTTTGGCCCAACAAGTCCACACTGACCCTTGGAGCATCCTACCCAGACCCATCCCCCTATAACCCACACATTCCTGAGCACTACGGGCAACTTAGCATGGCCAGTCTACCTAACCTGCACATCTTTGGACTGTGGGAGGAAACCGGAACACCCGGACAAAACCCATGCAGACACGGGAAGAATGTGCAAACTCCACACAGACAGTCGCCCGAGGGTGGAATCGAACCCGGGTCCCTGGCGCTGTGAGGCAGCTGTGCTAACCACTGAGCCACAGTGCTGCCCTTCTGTGGGTCTAGACTAACATATAGGCCTAATCAGGTAAGGATGGCAGATTTCTTTTGTTAATGGACTAGTTCAGTGGCTGCCTCCTATTTCTCGTCTACAACCTGTCCCTTGGCAATATCATTCAAATCACTGCATTAGTTTTTACACCTACGCTAACACTATCCAGCACACTACTCTCATCAACTCCCCTATTGTTGGTAAGCCATCAGACTGCTACATCTACAGTTGGATAAGCAGAAATTTTCTGCAGTTGAGTATTGGTAAGACCATTGTCTTTGGTACTCACTGGGGAGCCAGTACATAACTGGTAAAAGTCTATTATTGTGCAATAAGGACAAGAGTGAGTACTTTAAAACCTTGGGTTTGCAAAATGCTTTGCTCTTTTTTCAGGCTTTTAAAATGCAAATTTCTTGTCATCTAATTACAGCTTGATTTACCTCACTGTCTCCTGTTCCTTTTAACCTTTACTGCACCACGAGCCTTTCATATTGGTTTCTCAATGAAAATGTAATTCTGCGACGACTGAGAGGTTTTTGGAAGGCCTTTTGGTGTGACTAAACAGGAATAATTGTGAATGTGACTATTAACGTTTTTGTGGTTCCAGAGAAGAGGTTGCACATCTATACATTTTTTTTGTATCTCACACATACTCTCCAATGTAGTCTGTCGTACTGCAGTGTTACAGACAACTCCAGGTATGGGATACACCGCTGCAGTTTGCATGGGTATAAAGCTGTAGTCCCACTTCAGTTAGTGCAGGGCTATGTTATTGGCAGCTGTGTAATATTGTTTTCTCACTGTTTTATAGCTTTTGTTCATTTGTGTGTTATTTGTCTTGGCAAATTAGTTCTAGCATGGGTTGCATCTTTCTTTTTGTGGCTGAGGTCATTTGCTATCTTAGCTTTAGTTGCATTAAACAATTGATGTACTGATACTGCCTGCCCTGTGAATGCTAGGTTTTACTGTCTTTTATTTTCTGGGAATTATAGGTGAATGGTGCTTTTGAAGTACATGCTTCTCCTTCAGTCCTTTTTTGTACCTTTTAAAGGCAGACGCCTTGCCCTTCTGTCCCTTCCTTTATCTGCAGATGTGGGGCAGGCATCTTTGTAATTCCCTTCACATACCTGTGTCCCTTCCTACTGTCCCTTCTTACAGGAGGCTTTTGATTAATCATCTTCAGTCTAAAGGACTCTAAATTATCATAATCCTGATTCTGCTATTGAATAGGTCTAAGAGTGCTTGGACCAGATAACACACTTTTACCCAGCACCCTTTACTGCTCACCAGACTTGATCTGAGATGGCAGGACTGTCCTATTTGGATTGGACAAACTGCACCTGTGTTCTCTGGAGTTTCACAGAATGAGAGGCGATCTCATTGAAACCTACAAAATGCTTAAAACCGGGTAGATGTTTCTTGGAGCAGAATCTAGAAAAACAAGAGAAAATTTCAAATTAAGGGGGCTGTCACTTGGGGCTGAGATTCAATTTTTTATTACTCAGAGGGTTGTGAATCTTTGGAATTCTTACCCTAAAGGGTTATGAAAATTCTGTGTGGAGAAAAAGGTTTTGAAGTGGGTAGTTAGCAATGATCATATTGTGTGCGAGAGCAGGTGTGACGGGCTGAGTGGCCTACTCTTATGCTCCTGTGAATCCTCAAAGTTTTGCACTTTGTTTACCAATTTTATCCACAATGGCTGAGATCAGCTTACTCACTTTTGGTAGGTGCTGGATCACTTTAGTCTCTTGAGATTCTTTCTTGGTCATTGGGGTATCTAATGTATGGGAACTGGGCTGCCTCCAAGCCAAGAACCTAAGCTCCTGAGAAGTCGACACATGTATAGTTTCTCTCTCAATAGATGGTAGCCCTGGAAGGGATACACTCCACCCTCCTAACCTCTGCACATATGTCTGCAGCTTGGCAACTTCTTTTACTGTAAAGATTATTGCCTTGTAAATGTAAGTTGTTCTGTTTAAAGAGAGGGAAAGAAATTTGTTAATGTATATCATTTCCGTGTTTAATTATACTCTGGTGCATGTTAATTGGGGGCTCACCCCTGTCAATGTTGATAGGAGCAGACTGAACAAGGGTTTGTTGGTTGGAGACTCACTTTATGTAATTTGTGTGCTTCTACCTAAAAGCTGGTAAATTTATAGCTCTGTTCTGTTTTCTGATCATGGCTGTGTTTTTCTCTTGCCCAGTCCTGCTCTTATTCCTTATATTTCCCTTTTTTCCAGACTGATGTCATTCATCCAATTTCTCCAGTAAAGCAAATTTCATCCACATCTGAATCAGATGGTAATCGGCAAAGGTATGTTTGCTTCAGAGTACCTTTGGGTCAATCCCAGGAAAAGGGCATTTCTCAGTTATTTGTGAAATGTGTGTGTTTTGGAAAGGTTGGTGTTCCTTGCTGTTTCCTGATTGTTTTGAGGAGTGAGGTTGGGCTCATGTGAAGAGCAGGCAACAGTTTGAAAAACTGAGTTGTTTGCTGAGGTAATTTCAGAGGTCTCAAGTATGGGGCTGGGACTCATATAAGGGCCAGATTGCATCGGTATGGCAGGCTTCCTTTCCCGAATGGGAGTAGAGACCAAGAGAGCTTTTAATGACAGCTTCAAAGTAACTTCAACTCAACTTGGAATCATAGAATCCCTACAGTGTGAGTGCAGACCATTTGGCCCATTGAGTCCATGCCACTCCTCTGAAGAGCATCCCACTCAGACTCACCCTTCTACCCTATCCCTGTAACCATGCATTTCCCATGGCTAATCCTCCTAGCTTGCACATCCCTGGATATTATAGGCAATTTAGCATGACCAGTCCACCTAACCTGCATCTTTGAACAATGGTATGAAACCGGAGCACCCAGAGGACATGGGAGAATGCGCAAACTTCAAGCAAATAGTTGCCCGAGAATGGAATTGAACCCAGGTCCCTGGCACTGTGAGGCAGCAGCGAGCTGAGCCTCAGTGCCAACTTAAATTCTCAAACTGACAAGGAGGGATTTCAACCCATGTTCCTGGAAAACTGACTTCAAATGGATTTTTACAGCGACCAGTGATAGGTTAATGCTATGGTCAGCGATGACATCTTTCATTTCCAGATTTTATTAATTGAATTTGAATTCCACCAGCTGCCATGATGGGATTTGAATCCATGTCCCTAAAAAACTAATTTCAAATCCCACATTGCAGCTGGTGGAATTTAAATTTAATTAATAAAATCTTGAATTGAATCTGGTTTCAGTGATAGTGACCATGATGCTTTTGTTGCAAAAACCCATCTGGTTTCATTCATTGTAGGAATGAAATCTACAGTCCTAACCTGGTCCGGCCTACATGCAGCTCCACACCCACAGCAACATGGCTGGCTTTTAACTGCCGTCTGATATGGCCAAGCAAGCCACCGAGTGCTACCTAACACCTAAGATGTCTCAAAAAAGGATTGAAGCCTAGCATTGACCTAGGCACCAGAAATGGCAAAGTGAAATCAGCCGCCTTGTTCCTGCAAAGTTCTCTTTGCCAATGTCTTGGGTTTTGGCCCAAATTGCTGTCTCACAGACTATTCAAGCAAATCGTACCTTAAGCACTGACTCAGATAACACCATCACCATCCCCGGCTATGTCCTGCCCCACGGGCTCAATGAACCTAGCCAAGGTGACGGCAAATGGTGGACAACCAGGTGGGAGTTGTCGTAGGAGTCCTCAATATTTACTCCAGACCCCATGAAGCGTTGTGGCATCAGGACAAATATGGGAAAAGAAACTTTGTGGTGAATACCACACACAGCACGCCCTCATCTGACAATTGCTGCACTAATTGGAGGACGCACTGCGGTGACAAGGATGCAGATATGCTTTGGATTGGGGACTTCAATGTACATCACCAAGAGTGACTCCAGAGCACACATGCTGGTCAAGTCCCAAAGGATGTTGCTGACAGACTAGGTCTCCAGCACGTGGTGAAGGAATTAACAAGAGGGAAAAACATACTTGACCTCATCCTCATCAATCTGCCTGCTGTCCATGACAGCATTGGTAAGAGTTGCATAGTCCATTCTGCACATTGTGGATAGCTCTATTGTGTTCTGAGGCTCTATCACTGTGATAAACGGGATAAATTTTGAATAGATGCGGCAACCAAAGGTTATACATCAATGAGGTGCTGTGGGCTATCAGAAGCAGCAGAATTGTACTCCAACATAATCTGCAACGTCATGGCCTGGCTTATCTCCCACTGCACCATTATCATAAAGCCAGGCGATCAAACCTGGTTCAGTGAACAGTGTAGGAGGGCGTCAGGAGCAACACCAGGCGTAACTAAAAATGAACTCAGTTCACCCGATGAAGGAGCAGTGCTCCAAAAGCTTGTGATTTCAAATAAACCTGTTGGATTATAACCTGGTATCGTGTGACTTCTGACTCTGTCCACTCCAGTCCAATACCAGTACCTCCACATCATAAAAATGAATTGATGATGAAGCTATGACATAGGACTCCTTGTATCCCAAACAGTATAAGCATTATATAGAACATAGAACAGTACAGCACAGCACAGGCCCTTCGGCCCACGATGTTGTGCCAAACTTTTACCCTAAACCTAAGGTCTATCTAACCTCCACCGCTACCTTATACTATCATCCATATGCCTATCTAATAGCCGCTTAAATGCCCCTAATGAGGCCGACTCCACTAACCTCTCTGGCAATGCATTCCACGCCCCGACCACTCTCTGAATAAAGAACCTACCTCTGACGTCTCCCCAATACCTACCTCCACTCACTTTAAAACTATGCCCCCTCGTAAAAGCTACCTCCACCCTAGGAAAAAGTCTCTGGCTGTCTATCCTATCTATACCTCTGATCATTTTGTACACCTCCATCAAGTCGCCTCTTATCCTTCGTCTTCTAAAGAGAAAAGCCCTAGCTCTCTCAACCTTTCCACGTAAAACCTTCCCTCCATTCCAGGCAAATCTCCTGGTAAATCTCCTCTGCACCTTTTCTAATGCTTCCACATCTTTCCTGTAATGAGAACTGGACACAATACTCCAGATGTGGCCGAACCAGGCTTTTGTATAGCTGGAGCATAACTTCACAGCTCTTGAACTCAATCCCTCTATTAATAAAAGCTAACACACCATACGCCTTCTTAACAACTCTATCTACCTGGGTGGCAGCTCTCAGGGAACTGTGAACATGAACCCCAAGATCCCTCTGCTCCTCCACACTGCCAAGAATCTCTCCGTTAACCCTGTATTCTGCTTTCAAGTTTGTCCTTCCAAAATGAATCACCTCACACTTTTCAGGGTTAAACTCCATCTGTCACTTCTCAGCCCAGCTCTGCATTCTATCAATGTCCCTTTGTAACCTAGAACAGCCCTCCGCACTGTCCACAACGTGACCCACCTTCGTATCGTCCACGAACTTGCTAATCCACCCTTCCACTCCTTCATCCATTTACAAAAATCACAAATAGAAGAGGACCCAGAACAGATCCTTGTGGTACACCACTCGTAACTGAGCACCATGTTGAATATTTTTCGTCCACCACCACCCTTTGTCTTCTAAGGGTCAGCCAATTCTGAATCCAATCTGCCACATTTCCCCCTATCCCATGCCTCCTTACCTTCTACATGAGCCTACCATGGGGAACCTCATCAAATGCCTTACTTAAATCTATGTATACCACATTCACTGCTCCATCTTCATCCCCATGTTTGGTCACCTCTTCAAAGAATTCAATTAGGTTTGTGAGGCATGATCTATCCCTCACAAATCCATTCTGACTATCACAAATCAAACTGTGCCTTTCCAAGTGATCATAAATCCCGTCTCTCGGAGCCCTTTCCAGTAATTTGCCCACCACTGACGTAAGACTAACTGGCCTGTAATGTCCAGGGTTATCCCTCTTCTCTTTTTTGAACAAGGGAATGATGTTTGCCTCTTTCCAATCTTCCGGCACTATACCCGTGGACAGTGAGGACGAAAAGATCATCACCAAAGGCCCTGCGATCTCGTCCCTCGCTTTCCATAGAATCCTTGGATAAATCCCATCAGGTCCGGGGGACTTGTCTATCTTCAACTTCCTCAGAATTCCTAGCACATCTTCTTTACTAATATCAACCTCCTCTAGCCTACCTGCCTGTTTCACAACGTCCTCCTCTGCAAGTAGGTCCCTCTCAGTTGTGAATACTGAAGAAAAGTATTCATTAAGGACCTCTCCTATCTCTTTAGGCTCTGTGCACAAATTCCCTTTACAATCCTTGATCGGCCCTACCCTTTCTCTGGTCATTCTCTTGTTCTGCACATACATGTAAAAAGCCTTGTTGTTTTCTTTGATCCTATCCACCAACGTTTTCTCATGCCCCCTTATAGCCCTCCTAAGCCCTTTCTTCAGCTCCTTCCTGGCTAACTTGTACCCCTCTAGAGCTTTTTCTGTTCCTCTTTTCCTAAACCTTACATAAGCCGCCTCCTTCCTCTTAACCAGTCGTTCGACCTCTCTCGAGAGCCATGGCTCCCTCACTCGACCGCATCTTCTCTGCCTGCTAGGGAGAAACATGTCGAGCACGTGCAGTATGCATTCCTTAAACAATCTCCACATTTCTGTGGTGCTCTTCCTTGACAGCATCTGTTCCCAGTTTATGTTACCCAGTTCTTGCCTAACTGAATTGTAATTACCCTTCCCCCAATTATAAACTTTACCCTGCAGTATGTACCTATCCTTATCCATGACTATCGTGAAAGGAACAGAGTTATGATCGCTACCGCCAAAATGCTCTCCTACCAACACGTCTAACACTTGGCCCGGTTCATTGCCAAGCACCAAATCTAAAGCAGCCTGTCCTTGTGTTGGTGTATCTACATACTGTGTCAGGAATCCTTCCTGAACGCACTGGACAAAATCTGCTCCATCTAAACTATTACAACTAAAATATTTCCAATCAATATTTGGAAAGTTGAAGTCACCCATGACTACAACCTTGTGACTTCTGCACCTTTCCAGTATCTGCCTCCCAATCCGCTCCTCTACTTCTCTGCAACTATTAGAGGGTCTGTAAAAAAACCCCAACAAAGTGACTGCTCCTTTCTTGTTCCTGACCTCAACCCAAACTGACTCTGTAGACATATCATTCTCGAACTGCCTTTCAGTAGCTGCTATACTCACCCTGACTAGCAATGCCATTCAGCCGCCTCTTTTTCCACTCTCCCTCTTTCTTTTAAAGCATCTAAATCCCTGAACTTCCAACAACTATTCCTCTCCCCGAGTTACCCAAGTTTCTGTAATGGCCACAACATCGTAGTTCCAAGTACCGACCCATGCTCTAAGTTCATCGGCTTTATTTCTGATACTTCTAGCATTGAAGTATACACACCTCAAACCATCTCGGTGTCCGCAATTACGCTCCATCGACCGCAATTCTTTATAAACCACCTCACTCCCTGTTGTGTCAGTCGAAAGGCCGAATACCTCATCCTCTGAATTATAAATCCGGTTCTCCACCCCCTGCCAAACTAGTTTAAACCATCTCGTACAGCTCTAGCAAACCTTCCTCCCAGGATGTTTGTGCCCTTCCAGTTCAGGTGCAACCTGCCCTTACTGTACAGGTCCCACCTTCCCCAGAATGTGCTCCAATTATCCACATAATGAAAGCCCTCCCTCCTACACCAGCCCTGTAGCCATGTGTTTAGCTGCACTGTCTCCCTATTTCATACCTCGTTATCACGTGGCACTGTTAGTAATCCAGAGATGACTACCCTGTTTGTCCTGGACTTCAGCTTCCAACCTAACTCCCTGTACTCGTTTTTCACATTCTCAGTCCTTTTTCTACCTATGTCATTGGTACCAATGTGTACCATAACTGCTGGTTGCTCACCCTCCCCCTTAAGGATCTTGAAGACACGATCCGAGACATCACGGACCCTGGCACCTGGAAGGCAACATACCATCCTTTCATCTCGTTCGTGTCCACAGCACCGCCTGTCTGTGCCTCTTACTATCGAATCCCCCACTACAATTGCTCTCCTATTCTCCCCCCTTCCCTTCTGTGCCACAGGGTCAGGCTCAGTGCCAGAGACCTGTCCGCTATGGCCTTCCCCTGGTAGGTCATCACCCCCAACAGTATCTAAAACGGTGTACTTATTACTGAGGGAAACGGCCACAGGGGATCCCTGCACTGTCTGCCTATTCCCTTTCCCCTTCCTGACAGTCACCCAGCTACCTTTTTCCTGAACCTTGGGTGTGACCACCTCCCTGTAACTCCTCTCTATCACTCCCTCAGCCTCCCGAATGATCCGGAGTTCATCCAGCTCCATCTCCAGCTCCAGTTCCCTAACACGGTTTTTGAGGAGCTGGAGTTGGGTGCACTTCTCGCAGGTGCAGTCAGAGGGGACACCAGCAGTGACCCTTATCTCCCACATCCTACAAGAGGAACATGCAACTGCCCTAGTTTCCATTCCGTCTACTCTGTTCGACAGAGCTAAGCAATTCCACAAGAACAAATCTGAGCTTTGCAGTTCTGCCATATCCAGTCAAGAATAGTGGTGGACACTTGACAGCTCACTGGAGGAGGAACCTGCATAAAAATCCCATCCTCAATAATGGGGGAGCCCAGCACAGCAGGACATTAGATGAGGCATTCAATGGTATTACCATCGCTGAATCCCTCACTATTAACATCCTTGCAGTTACCAATGACCAGGAACTGAACTGGACAAGCCAAATAAGTGCAATGACTACAAAAGCAGGTCTTACTCTAGAAATCCTGCAGCAGGTGACCCACCACCTAACTTTCCAAAACCTGTCCTCTATCTACAGACACAAGTCAGTAGTGTGATGGAATACTTCCACTTCCCTGGTTGTGTATGGCTCCAACAACACTCAAGAAGTTTGACACCATCCAGGATAAAGGGACCCATTTGATTGACTCCACATTCACAGAGAATACTGGATAAAGCCAGCAGGTCTGGCTGCAACTGTGGAGCAAGAAACAGAGTAAATATTTCAAGTCAGATATCACATCTTCAGATCTGAAGAAGAGTCACTCTGTATTGCAACATTAACTCTTGTTTCTTTCTCAGCAGATGCTGCCTGACCTTCTGAGTTTCTCCAGAAGCCTGTGTTTTTGTTTCAGATTTCCAGCATCTATAAAAGCAAAATATTTTCACAAGCATTCACTCCCTCCACAACTGATGCTTAGTAGCAGCAGTGTGTCCCAGCGACAAGATGTGCTTCAGAAATTTACCAAGGCTCCTTAGATAGCACCTTTAAAGACCCATGCCCATTTAGAATGACAAAGGCAGCAGATACATGGAAGTTGCGAGCTCCTGTATGGAAGCTGTGACACCTGCAAGTTCCCCTCCAAGCCACTCACCTTCCTGATGTGGAAAATATCACCATTCCTTCAGTGTCGCTCCTTGACGGCATTGTGGGTCTACCTACACCAATGGACTGCAGTGATTCAAGAAACCAGCTCACCACCACCTTCTCTAGGGAAGTTGAAATGTCAAGAAATGCCAGCCCAGTCAGTGATGCCCACATCGCCTGAAATTATTATTTTTTTCAATTCTGTCGTTTTGTATGTTGAATACTGATGTCTCTTCTTACAAGACAATAGTTTACTGGCGAGTTAAATCTTTGCACTGACAGATGCTTCCTGTCCCTCCACATAGCACACAGCTGAAGTCCTCACTGACTCTAGATGATTTCAAGCTGATTGCAGTCTTGGGCAGGGGACACTTTGGAAAGGTAAGAATTTTAATATTTTGAAGTTTCATGTTGGTTATTCATGCATTCCACTTGATAGTTGGAGGTGTACTGTTCTAAATTCCTTTTCACGTGTTAAAACACTTAAATAGACCTGTTAAAATGATAGAACATGGAAAAGCATTTTGCAGAGAGAAAAGGAGTTGGTGTCACACTTTAGCCGGAGGGTTTGAAAGAGTGATTGTAAACTGGTTCTGCTTGGACAGGAAGTGGGAGGTCCAGAGAGACAGCCAAATCTGGACAAAGGTTTGAGTGGCATGGGAGGTGTTTCATGAGAAGCCGAAATCTGAGGACCTGGGATACAAGATAGAGTTGCGTGGTTGCGTATGGATGTGGCAATGATTTGGAAAAGGCTGCAGCAGGGGAAAGGCAGACTTTTCTGCATTTAGTTGTAAAAATTAAGGCTCATTTGCCAATAAATCTCAGGTGTATCAGGTGGTGAAGTTGGGGGAAATATTGGAGAGATAGATACGGTTGTTGCGAGCATTCACATTGAAAGTTGAGCATATGTCAGTTGTGGCTCAGTTGTTTGCACTCTCGCCTCTGAACTACAAGGTCCTGGATTCAATTCACACTCCAGGTCTTGAGCACTGAAAACCAAGGCTAACACCCCTCTGCAGTACTGAGGGAGCACTGCATTGTCTAAGGAGCTGTCTTTTGGAAGACATCTTAAACCAATGTCCCATTTGCCTGTTTAGGTGGATCTGAAAGAATCCATAGCGTTGTTTTGAAGAAAAGCAGGGGAGTTATTTTCAGTGACTTATCCAATATCTGTCTCCAACCACCTTCACTAAAACAGGTTATCTGATCATTGTAACAATGCTAATAGCACTTGTCATTAAAAAAGTGTTGACTCTGTATGCATATTAGTCTAAAATACACTGACAAAACCAAAAGAGAAGCCATGTTGTGGAGATAAAATCATAGAATTCCTACAGTGTGGAAACAGGCCCTTTGGCCCAACAAGTCCATACCGACCCTCAGAGCATCTCACCCAGACCCATCCCCCTATAACCCACCTAATCTACACATCCCTGAACACTACAGGCAATTTAGCATGGCCAATCCACCTGGCCTGCACATCTTTGGACTGTGGGAGGAAACCGGAGCACCTGGAGGAATCCCACGCAAACATGGAGAGAATGTGCAAACTCCACACAGATAGTCGCCCAAGGGTGGAATTGAACCCGGGTCCCTGGTGCTGTGAGGCAGCTGTGCTAACCACTGAGTCACCATGCTGCCCAAATGAGGAAGACTGCCCAAATGAGATTCTGCTGAATTAATCGGTTTCATTGGGAGCAATAAGAGTTGATACCTTACAATCACAATAGAGGAAGAAACTAATGACCATGAGAACTGGACAGTTGATGAAGATGAGCTCAAGTGCAGTGTAAATCTAAGAATTGAAGAGTTGTGAAAGACCAACCTTGCTGAAATGATTTTAACAGCAGGTCATTTTATGTCTTGCGCAGAATGAAGAAAAAAAGACCTTTCTGAAAGGCTGTATTTGTGTTTAAATAGCAGCTAACATGCTGTGCATGTGAAAGAGGTTGCGTGTGCTGACAGATGCAGCCACAATGGGGAGGGAGAACAGATGTACCGACTTAAGCCCCGACTGTTGTGTCCAATCTCCTCCCCTAAACACCAGTGATTTCTTTCTGGATTAGCCATGGGAAATGCAGGGTTATAGGGATGGGGGGGGACATGGTGTGGTCAGTGAGGATGCTGTAGAGATGCTATGATTCTAATTTGGGAGGAGCATTTGAAAGTAGCGTTTAAAGTGTTGACTATTTGGCATTTTACTTAGATCTTTTTCCCTGTGTTTTAACAGATCCTTTATATAATGCTGTAACTTGCCCAACTCTGATCTCCCTCAAGAAGCTGTCTGTGGTGCATTTGGTCAGTGTGTTTGGCTAGTAACCGAAGGTTTGGTAGTTTGAGACCACCAGAGGTTAAGCTAACCAGACAGAGATAGGTTGGGGTGCTGAGATGCTTGTCAGAAGGTTGGTGCTGACTCAATGGGCTGAATGGCCTCTTTTCGCACTGTAAGGGTTCTATGAGTTGCCTTTTATGTCCAATCTCAGCACTTTCCTTTTGATTTTTTTTTGGCAGAATCCTATTTTTAATTGCACTGATGTCAGTCATATAATACTTTGCAGTGAAGCATTGACTTTAAAGCTTGTCAGCTTTCTGAGAAAACAGATAAGATACAGTAAATATAGCTTGTGGTTTGCAACTGTTTAAGAGTATCAACTTTTTGAAAGTGTATCAAAAGCTACACAGCCTTTACATGACCTGGCTGCATTTCAGCGATAACCTGATGTCTGTAAGTGCAACTGCACAATGCACATTATCATGATGGCCATTTTTAATAGCAGCGCCCCTCCCCCACATTGGGAACAAGCATTCTGTTTTGAAAAAGGAACTTGAAGAATGAAGGTATAAGTTGCCAATCAGGACTGAAAATTGGGAGCAATGCCTAATTTGAAGACGAGATGGCGAAGCCAGCAGCAAAATGGTGTCCTGGGTAGCGTAATTCTACTTACAACTGTACCTTCTGATTGCTGAGTTTAGTCCTTCTCTAAGGCATGTGGATAATTCAACAAGGAGTTATCAGAAGGAACAAGTCTCACCGCTTATCCTATTCAACCAATGCAAAGTGGGCATAATCTCAGAGTAACAAAGAAGCATTGAAATATAGCAAATAGGAGAAGGATTTGGTGCTTTGAACCCGCTCAGCCATTCAGTGTGATTGTGGCTGATCATCCAATTCAGCGCCCTGTTTCTGCTGTCTCCCCGTACCCTTTAACTTAAATAAAGGGAATTACAATGAAAGGAGGACAGAGCAAATGTGAACTGGGAGGCTAGATTAGTAGGAATGATAGCAAGCAGTGACAGACATTTTAGGAGGTAATTCATGACACTCGGCAAAAATAAATCCCAGTATAGAGGTACAGTTCTGAGGCATAAACCAACTGTAGCTAACCAAGGAAGTTGAAAGTAGAGTATTAAATTGAAAGGCAAAGCCTCAATGGTAGCCCCAAAGACTGGGACAAATACAGAATCCAGCAAAGGAGGATGAAAACAATAATAAAGAGAAAATAAACCACGAGAGCAAACTGGCGTGGAATATGAAAATTGACAATAAGAGCTTCTTTTAAATACATAAAAAAGAAGAGAGGTCAAAGAGAACATGGGCTGTTAGAAAGTGAGTCTGGGGAACAGAAAATAGAGGAGTTAAACAGATATTTTGGAATGTCTGTTTTTGGAAGATACTTCAAACACTCCTTAAATGTTAAAGAATACAGGGAAAGAATTAAGCACCATCATCATCATCATTAGAGATGTAGTATTAGACAAATTAATAAGCTAAAGGCAGAGAAGTCCCCTGGCCTACTCTGCACCCTTTCGAGTACAATCGCATCCTTCCAATAGTATGGCAACCAGAACCGCACACAGTATTCCATCTGTGGCCTAACTCATGTTCTATCAAGTTGCAAAAGACTTCTCTTCTATAATTTATGTCCCAGTTAATGAAAGCAAGCATACCATTTGCCTTCTTCACCATCCTATGTATACTTTTGCTGGAACCTTCAGAGATCTATGGAGTAGAACACTGAGGTCTCGTTGTTTGTCAGTACTCCCAAGGGATCTACCATTCATTGTCTAAATCCTTTCCTAATTGGACCTTCCTAAATGCATCACTTCATACCTGATGTATTAAATTCCAACTGCCATTGCTTTATTTGATTTACCAGCTGATCAATATCAGACTGTAGCCTAAGACCATCCTCCTCACTATCAAAAGCACCACCAATTTTTGTGTCATCTGCAAACTTACTGATTATACCATCTGCATTCACATCCAGGGTCGCTAATGTACCTAACAAGCAGCAAAGGTCGCAGCCCCAATCTTTGTAGCACACCGCTGGTCACAGGTTTCCAATTACAAAAACAACCCTCCATCATTACCCTTTGCCTCCTATTTGCAAGCTAATTTTGGATCCAGTTTGCCAATTTGCCTTGGATCCCATGGGCTTTTACGTTGTGCGCCAGCTTTCCATGCAGTGCCTTGTCAAAGGCCGTTCTGAAGTCTCTGTAAACCCTATCAACTATACTGTCCTCGTCAATAGACAGGATCTCTCTGTAATAAATCGGCTGTGACTATCCCTGATCAATCTCTGCCTTGCCAATTTGTTGATTAATCCTGTCCTGCAGATTTTGTTTTCCAATAATTTCCCTACCAGTAATGTCATACTAACAGGTCTGTAATTACCCGGCCATCCCTACTGCTCTTCTTGAACAAAGGAGCCACATTAGCTATCCTCCAGTCATCTGACACTTCACCTGTAGTCAGCAAAGTAGTAAGCATAACAGGAACAAAAATAGAAGTTGCTGGAAAAGCTCAACAGGTCTGGCAGCATCTGTGAAGAAAAAATCAGAGTTAACGTTTCGGGTCCAGTGACCCTTCCTCAGAACCTGTTCTGTTTTGGTTCCTGATTTACAGCATCTGCAGTTCTTTTGGTTTTTATGAAGAAGTAAGTATGTCTGCCAGGGCCCCAGCAATCTCTCTTGTCTTTCATAGTAGGTTGGATACGGTCTGGGACTATCAACTGCGCGTCCAATGACATAAACACCATACTACCGCTTTGGGGAAAGACTGTTGCATAGCTGTTTGGCAAAATATTAAACAATGCTGCATGTATCAGCAATTGAATTGTCACTTTTACAGCCTAAGTTGTCAGCTCAATATGAAAAGATATATTTTGTCTTGCTGCAACTTGTTCTATTATTGTTCAACGTTAGAAGTCACCAAACCATGGAAAACGGCAACCAGTAACCTAAACATAATACGCATTCACCAGAACTTCAAACAGCTGGGCTACTAATATCTACACTAAACAAAGGGAAGGCAGATCTGAACAATGTGCCACAGCATTGTCATCTTTGACATCTTAGTTTTTTTTCTTGCAACAGGTGCTGCTGTCAGAATATAAAAAATCAGGACAACTATTCGCCATTAAAGCTTTGAAGAAAGGAGATATTGTTGCAAGGGATGAGGTTGACAGGTGAGATTTGATTTCTTATTTGAGCATCAATACATTATATTTTGCTACAAATTGCAGCACAGTAACTAATCATTTGACTCAACTGTCCATACTCTTAAAGGTCATCGACCTGGCCTGCTAACTCTCATTCTTCCCACAGATTCAGCTTGACCTTTTGCTCTCTCTCTCTCTCTACAGAAACTACTTGACCTATTGAGTATTTTCAGCATGTTTCTGTGTTAACTTCAAGTTTGCCCGAGTTCCTTCTTGGTGACGATTTCCAATAGCAGTCTTTAGTTTTGCTTGTCTTCACTCTGTGACTGCCGTGTTAAAACCTTTAATTTTATAGACCTTTATCCCATTTTCTGATTTTCTTCCAATCTTACTTTTGTTTCACTGATGTGTACATAAAATAGTTTACTGTTTTGATTTCTATTTCTTGGTAATTCAATTTTCTAGATTTTCTTTGTCTTCCTCGTTGCTATTGCCATGTCTCCTAATCTCTATGTATCCGCCCTTCTCATTCTGTGTTTGCTGACCATCTACTTAACTATGCTTCTTTCCTCCCCCAGTTTTTCTCTCATCCATAATGCATCCATGGAGTCTCATTAGAATTTAATTTGTTCTTCTTGCTGAGCACAATGTATTTTCCTTTTCCCTCTCCAAAGATCCTGCCAGACCTACTGAACTTCTCCTGCAATTTGTTTTTGTATCAGATTTCAAGCATCTGCAGTTCTTGTTATATTTCTCTATGATATCCTCATCAATTATTATCCTAAGTTGCTCTGTTTTAATGGTGTTACCAGTTCAGTGGAAAGACTGCATCTAACATTGTGATCAATCCAATGAGAGGGCTGCATTTAAACAGTGACATTAGGAGCAGGAGTAGAACATCTGGCCCTTCAAGCCTGCTCCACCATACAGTATGATTATGACTCATCCTCTATCTCATTGCCATATTCTAGTTTTCTTCACATACACCTTGATACCTTTAATATCTAAAAAATTATCTGTCTTTTTTTGACTATATTCAATGACTTGGCTTCCACAGATTTCTGTGGTAGAGAATTCCACACTTTCACTACTCTTTGAACGAAGAAATGGTTCTTCATCTAAGTCCTAAATGTTCTGTCCCACATCCTGAGACTGTGACCATTGGTTCTAGACTTTTTTTTTCTTATTCATTCATTGGACAAGGGTGTTGTTGGCTAGGCAGCATTTATTGCCCGTCCACAATTGCCCAGAGGGCAGTTCAGAGTCAACCACATTGCTGTGGGTCTGGAGTCACATGTAGGCCAGACCAGATAAGGATGGCAGTTTCCTT